TGTGTGTATGTGGTGTGTATAAGTGTGTTTGTGATATTGTGTGGTGTGTGTGTAGTGTGTACATGTGTGGTGTGTACGTGTGTGTGGTGTGTGTGTGGTGTGTATCTGTGTGTTTCTGATGTGTGTGTGGTGTGTACGTGTGTGGTGCATGTGTGTGTGTGTGTGTGTGGTGTGTATACGTGTGTGGTGTGTATAAGTGCATTTGTGATATTGTGTGTGGTGTGTGTGTAGTGTGTATATGTGTGTGGTGTGTATATGTGTGTGTGGAGTGTATGTGTGTGTTTGTGATGTGTGTGTGGTGTGTACGTGTGTGGTGCATGTGTGTGTGTATGTGTGTCTGGTGGTGTGTATGTGTGTGTGTGGTGTGTATGTGTGTGTGTGGTGTGTAGGTGTGTGTGTGGTGTGTATATGTGTGTGTTGTGTGTATATGTGTGTGTGTGGTGTGTATGTGTGTCTGGTGGTGTGTATATGTGTGTGTGGTGTGTGTATGTGTGTGCATGGTGTGTGTGCATGTGCGTGTATATGTGTGTGTGGTGTGTGTGTATGTGTGTGCATGGTGTGTATGTGTGTGCATGGTGTGTAGGTGTGTGTGTGGTGTGTATATGTGTGTATGGTGTGTATATGTGTGTGTAGTGTGTATGTGTGTCTGGTGGTGTGTGTGTGTGGTGTGTATGTGTGTCTGGTGGTGTGTATATGTGTGTGTGGTGTGTGTGTGTGTATGTGTGTGCATGGTGTGTGTGTGTGCGTGTGTGTGTACATGCGCGGGGGCCCACGTTAAAGACAGAGGGAGAGACGGGACATTCTGAGCCCCACAAGGTCTGCCGAAGGACAGTCTGTGCATGCCGCCTCCCCCGCGGTGTGAACCAGGAGGAGGCCGGTGATAATGCCCTCAGCCCCGGGGCAGCAGGACGGTCTCAGAAAGAGGCCAAGGCAGCGCGGGTCACATTGATGATGGTGCCAGCGACCTCGGCAGCAGCGGCCGACATCCGTGTATTAAACGCCTGCCACACCCCAGGCCCGTGCCGGTCCTTGCGCGTGTTGTGCCGTTACGTTTAACGGGCAAAGGCTGGCGTTCCGAAATCCCAAGGGGGTGAGCAGGTAATAGGCTAGAGAGAAGTGGGTGCGGCGTATGATAAACAGCAGGACCGGCCTGCAGCCTCAGGGTCAAGGAGAGGCGAGGACTCTGACACCTCCGTTAAAAATCTAGAGATTTTTTGCCATGGTAGCCTAGACTTGCCAGATCTTCAAATTTTTCGAGAGGAACTGAGAACCTAGAATTTTTTTCTAATCAGTTTTGTTCAGGTATAATTTACATACAATGAACTGCACATACTCATAAATATACTACGTACATTTTAAGTGTACAGTTCAACAAATGTGTACTCTCATCACCCCAAAAGGAAACCTTGAACTTTAATGTAAACTTTCCTAAAATTTTAAATATTGATAACACATTAAAATTTTAAAAATATCGTACAAGCCAAACAAAACGCATCTCGAGCTGTCTGTGGCCTCTGGGCAACTAGTTAAGTCCTTGGTGG